ATAATTAAAAATTTAAAGAAACCTGATTTTTGAAATTTAAAATATGTTTTGGTATTTTTGAAATTGGTAAAAGTAAAAGCCTTATTTATGTATTCTTCCCTTTACAATTTTCTATCAACTTTTCAATCACATTTCATTAATTTTTATAAAAGAAAATTATCAAATAATCCCTGAATATTAATATGCTTCAATTTTGATTTAAAAGAATAAAATAAAATTATGAGGTAACTATCAATGCGTAGCTGATTCATTCAATGTTATTGATCATATTGGATTCTGTTTTTATTTTCAGTGATGTGAATTTTAGCATCGATTTTTTTCGTTCAAAACAATCGTTCAATTTCTTTTAAAAAATGTTTGTTTGATGAATTGTGGTTTATAACAAGAAAAAATTTACTAACTAAAACTCTAAAAAAATTCCCTCTTCATCATTGAAGTAGCACAATACAATAAAGACTATTGAAAGTATAAAGTATTGCAGGTAACTAGAGAACCATAACTAATATTTTTTTATTATGTCAACAGTGAAAAGTTTTTATCCTATATCATCTTTGACAAAATATCAGACTTGCCATTGTCTAATGGTCCACAGTTATAAAATCCTTTTTACTACTTGAAATTTACTGTCAACGGCTTAAATTCCTATGTGATAACAAGGTTCAATCTTGAAGAGGACCTGCTGTCTGATGAGCCTGAGCAAACAGTCACATTTCTTTCAGAAGACCATGCATGATTCTAACAAAATCCAATGTTACCAATCGTTTCCATGTGGCTCATTATGTCGTCTTTTTCAACAAGCTTCATTCCTAGCCTTGCCTCATCATCAAGTCGTCCATGTCTTCACGTAAACGACCATTGCCGCTACAGGTAAGTTCATTTGACCCATCAAGTTTTGTCCTTACCAAGTCTAAAAGATATGCCTTTGCCGATGCGCAAATCACAAGAGAAAAACCTTTTTACATCTGTGTGTCCAATGCATCAAGGAAACTTTATTTCACTTTTACTTGAATTAATGATTAGTCTCACTCTTCAACCCCCACGGGTAAATATTACAACTATACTCCTAGAAAAATTGAAAAAAAATAAAATAAAATACTGAGCGTACGCACCACCAGGATTAATGTCTGCGTGGTTTTTATTTTTCTTCAGTAGAGAAAAATGAAGCAAAGGTATTAAAGCTAAATATATAAATGCTCTATGTTTTCTGCAAAAATTTTGGCATACAGTGAACCCGCAAAAAGCAATTGATGGGAATTTACACCGCAGCAGACTGCTTATCCTCGTTCTCATCAAGGTTAAGTGCTTCCAATAACTTTGGCCATGACTCCAGGAGACCTCCAGGCAAATTAAATTCCATCATCTTCCCTTGATTACGGTAGAAGTCCTCCACTGGCTGACTCTGAACCCGAAAAAGGGAATGAAAGAGAATAAGCTTAACCAGAAAGTAGTGATATTTCCAAAGATCAAATTTAGATCAAATCCTCCTTCACCCAACTTTTCCTACAGTGAAATCACATTACTTAAAAGAACAAAATGTATTTACCTTTCGTTCCTTGTACATAAGAAAAGCATACAAAGTAATCTTCTATTTTTATACCTCCCTCACCCGTCAATCCCATTTGACCAGCAAAGAAAAAGCATGATAAAGAGAGAATAATGCAATACCTTCTCATAGTATACACGAAGTCTTTCACTAACAATAGTTTCAGTATCATCAGAACGAGTAATGAGCTTTGAAACACACTGTGGAGGTGGAAGAAGTGGATCCATACTAATATCTGGATTTCCATTTTCACCCTTGACGTTGATATTTGCCACATTAAAATTCTTCCCACATTGGCTGCAGATCCTTCGTCCAAGGCATTTCTCAACCAGTACCTTTTCTGGAAGCTTGAGATTTACCACCAGGTCAATGTCTGTTACGTCATCCAATATTTCCTGCAGGTAGAAATAAAGAACTATTGAGAAATGTGCATAAACTTAATGCAACAGAGAAATGCAATGGCCTCCCATTTTCTATTGACAAGTGCATGTTTGGAGAACTGGTTAAATAGCAAAATTTTGAAATGAACTTGAAGCATGAAAGAAAAAATGAAGCCAACTCATATTAACATAATACCACTGAACGTCAAGAAATACCATTGCTCAAAGCACGGAATACGAAAAAAAACATTAATCGAATGAAGTGCTTGGAGCCCTAGGAAACAGGATCATAATCCGACAACCATGAGCAAAATCATTCACTGTTAACTACCTATCACCTCCGACCAACAAGAAATCAAAAAAATGCATATACTTTTTAACATTCTCAAATGAAAACCTATAATTCAATATCATCTTGTATATTCCTTATTTCTAGCTTTATATCTCTTTTCTCGAATCTGTGAACCAGAGAATACTTATGTATTAAGAAGTTCAATAAAGCATGAGCTCAACCAAGCCCGATATGTGTAGTATTTGGAAGTTTATCATTAGCACGACTCAAAATAAGTTCTCAGGATCAGAAGCAATTCTTTTCTAAAGACAGACCTTCTTAGAGAAAGCTTAATGTCTAGCATATCATAACCTTCATGACCTATCTCTAGGAACCTTAGAAGAGTACGGTTTTGAGAAAAGCTAATATACGCGGAGAAAATACTTACTGCTTGCCTAACTGTTCGGGGAAATCCATCTAGTATAAATCCTGATTCACCTTTAGCTTCTCCTGTCTCGAGCCTCTTTGACAATAAGCTTATAATTATCTCATCTGATACCAATTTCCCTTGGTTCACAATCTCTGTAAGCTGCAAAAGAGAACCAAGAAAGAAGAATCAACAACATACGACACCAAGTTTATTATAACAAATGGACCACAAAATGCATCCTGAGCAGTACACATTTGTGAATGTAACTAATCATTAGGGACTATGACAACACAGAATCAAGACACAATTACACAAATATACAAGTACGCAAAGAAAGAGGCTTGTATAATATTGCATATAACCAGGGGTTACCCGTGTTGTGCTCAAAACGACTTCTCCACTAAGACATTGTAAATTATTACATTAAAGCACTTAAAAATTACATGAAAAGCTTCTCGAATCTCTAATTCCAATAGATCTCAAATATATAGAAATCATTTCAAACCTGAAACCCATGCATCTATATATCCATTTAAAAAGGAAAAAAAGACCTTAACTTTAATTATAATTTATAAGACAAGCTCCTTATCTAACAATTAACAAAGAAATATCCCAATTCCCTTCGCAACGTATCCCAGAAGTCATATTTAACATGTAAAGGCAATGCTAATATTTATTCTACATATAAGCACAAACGTGTATACAGTTTAAGAGGCGGCGTACTTGTTTGGAGAGTGGGCCAGAGGCGGAGAGCTAATCACGGACAAGATCTCCTGTGGCGATGTGGGGGACACCGAGCAAGACGGAGGGCCGGCTGGCGAAGGTAC